TTTTTTTTTTTTTTTTTTTTTTTTTTTTAAACGCTAAAACTGTTTATAAAAAGTTTTTGTTTTTCAATAATATCATTGCTTGAATATGAATTTTTTGAGTGCTTAAAAATTTTTGTAAAGTGCTTGAAAAGTTTTTAAAAAGGGCTTATTTTTGATTCAAAGATTTGGCTACGCACCCTGTCTACACCTGATTTTGGATTTTGAGGCAATCTCTCCGAGACTGTGTAAGCTCAAAATCAAAGGAAAGTTCTTTGATTTCAGTATTATCTGTTCTTATGCACCAACTGAAGATAAAACAGAGGAAGATAAGGAAATTATGAAAATTTAGACAAAATTGACTACAGTTTTCCAAAATATGATACAAAAATTATTTTGAGAGATCTAAATGCTAAAGTAGGTAGAGAAAGGGAATTTAAATTGGTGACTGGCAGATTTAGCTTACATGATACAACCAATGATAATGGACACAAATTGATTTTGCTGCTTCACATAATATGATTATAGGAAGCACGTCCTTTCCACATAAAAATATTCATAAAGCTACCTGGCGTGCTCCATGTGGCACTTATACTAATCAAACAGTTCAAGGGAGAAACTTAGAGAGAATGACTGATTAACTTAAAAATGAAAGGATAAGACTTTAATATTGTGAAAAAGTAAAGGAACAATTGAGTTTAAAGAGTTGTGATGGTACTGTGGAAAATAAATGGAAATGTATAACAGACAGTATCTGTAACGCTGCGAATACCATGATTGGTAAAGTAACTGAGAAACAGGTTAAAGATTGGTATGGTATTGACTGTGCCATTGCTAATGATAAAAAGAATGTTGCATGTAAACATATGATACAAGCACACACAAGAAATAGTGCAGAGGAGTACCATAGATGCAGAAAAGAGGTGAAGAAACTCTTTAGGCAAAAGAAAAGGATCTTTGATGAAGAATTGTTTAAGGATGTTGAACATCTGAAATCCATTAATGAATGCAGGGCATTCTATCGTAAAATTAGCCGCAGTCGATTGGACTTTAAACAGACCTCTAATCTATGCAAAAACAAATTTAGTGAACTTATTACAGATAAACAAGACATTTTAAAACAATGGCTTGAACATTTTAAAGAACTTCTAAATGATAATTGTAAGGATGTTGAAATAATTGCACCTAAATTCATAAATGACATAGAAGTTGAGGCTCCAACTATTGAGGAGATCAGGGCAGCAAATCTAGAATTTTATTTCTCAGACTGTTACCATTTATTGACTCTCAAATAGAAAAATATTAATGTGGATTCCATGCTGGAAAATCAACTAAAGATCAGATATTTTGTCTCCATCAGATTTTAGAGAAATCAATGGAATTTAGCATTGAAACACATCTTTTTATTGATTTCAAGGCTGTTTTTGATAGTATCAATAAAAATTATCTTTTTGAAGCAATGAATACTTTTAAAATACCTTCAAAACTCATTAAATTGACGAGACTTTCAATTATTACCATTGACAACAGAATGGCTTCTGAAATAAAAAACTGACTCTTATCTGGCAAGTAGGGTCTATGTGCTGGGAAGATTTATTAAATCTAGGTTTCTTTCTAGAAAAGCAAAGTTCTTAATCTACAAAACTCTTGTCCGACTAGTCTTGACTTACGTTTCTGAAGCTTGGACAATGACAAAACTGGAGGAAAATCGTGTCGCAATATTTGAGAGAAAGATTTTGCGGAGTATATTTGGTGGTGTGAATGAAAACAATAACTGGAGAAGGAGATTTAACCTTGAACTGTACAAGATTTATGAACAACCTGATATTAAATACATAAAAATAAATAGAATGAATTCGGTGGCCCACCTGATTCGAATGAGTGATGACAATACAATAAAAAGGATTTTGCTTTTTAAACCCACTGGAACAAGAAAGTGGTTAAGCAAGTAAGTTTCTTCAAAGACAATATCATCGTTAAATTTTTTCGCCGCCGTTTAATCTAAATATGTCTCTATGACGGAGAATATCTTACTACCATCTGCCGGATGAATAATGATGTTTTCAGAAACTGACAGATTGTTTCAATGGTAGAATTCGAAAAACGTTTTATTATTGAACTTGTCTTGGTTCTAGCACAGGCATATTTTGTCGCCATTTCCGAATCAGGGAAAAATTTTCGAAACAACGGCCCAGCATGGTCTGATGCTGCAGTAGAGCAATTGTGCTCTATTAAAAAGCTCGTAAATAATGCTTCAGCTTCAATTACACTTAAGTTCTCTAACTTTACTAACAGCGACCGTATATCCAGATTTGATTCTCTAACTTTGCATAATAGGCCATGTCTCAGAATAAGCTTCTTTATACTGCTGATTATGTTTTCGCTTTAACGATTTCGCCATTTCAGATGAACTTTAACTCAAAATTATAACATGTAAGGTTCGCATAAGTTTTAATTGCAAGATCCAGTGCAAAACATCCAGGATCCTGAAAATTACACCTACATCACGTCAAGCCGCAATGATCTGTGACGCAATCGACGCCCGCCTGAAAGACTCAGACAAAATCTGTCCTAGAACCTTAATGTTTACACTACAGTGAGAATATTTACATTTAGCATTGAGTTAAATTTTCTTGCAATTAATGAAAGGAATTTTAGTTCAAAGATAAATCGGAAGTCGTCGTGGAGAAATCTTCAGAGAAAGACATTGGCTCACATTGGACTCTCTGGCCAACCATGATGATGATAAATTTTGCAATTTTAAATGTTTAAACATACATGGGTGTTATTTAAATGGTGGGCTTCTTAATTGGATCAAAAGATATTCTAGGTGCCACTTTTTTCTTTCTTTCCTTTTCTACTATCATTTCATATTTAAACACTGAGGAAAGTTCTTGTTTAACTATATTCCTATTTCTATACTTTCTTTTGTCATCCTCAGTCGTAAGTGTCACAAAATATACCCTATCTTATTAGTTCTTTTTTTTTTTTTATTTTGCACAATACCTTAAAATTCACAAGTATTATGAACATTATTGAATAAAAAAGTAAAATATAAAAATGTTAAAGTATTTTTTGTGTGAAATTTGTATAAAGTATTTTTATAATTGTGTGCAAAAGGTTTCCAGATTGCAGCTACTACCATATTGGGATTTCAATAATCCCAATCCATTGCAGGAAAACAGGAATGTTTTTTAGATGAAGTACATTTTGTATTTTCTTCTGTTGCCTTATTAATGGTAAACATTAATTAGATTTTTTGTCAGTCCTTTGAGTCAGTAAAATTGGCCCTTAATAGCTGAATATCTGATCTTGGAACAGAAGTTGTCAAAGTAATGTCTTTTTAATTATAAAAACCTTTTTCTTTTGTTTTGTGAACTTTTTTTATATTGTAATATTTTTTTAATTGGAAATAATCACATTATTCTGACATATAGCATATCTTCTTGCATTTTACATACATCAAAAAAAAATTTTTAGACACATGAATTTAAATTGGATTTAATTTTTAATTTCAAAACAGAATTTTGGTACATAATTTTTTAGCTAGAAAAGTTTATAACTAAAACAAATTAAAAATTTTTTTTTAACTAAAAGTAGAAATGCTTACTAAATTCTACAATAAATCTATTTAAAATTAAGTTTGTCTTACAAAACCAAACCATATAAACTCCTTTACATCAGTTGGTTAAGTTATTGAAGTTTATCTTTTACTTAAAGAAAATGCATGAAAATTTTTACAAAAAAAAATTCTTTTTTGTGTATTCGAATTCATTAATTCTTTTTCGAGTGATAAGCTCTGAAAAAGTATAATGGCCATTCCATTGCCGTTGTGTGTTTTTACTAAAATGCTCAAGTGTTAAACTACTTCATAAAATTAGAACTTGCATTAAAGCAGTTTGGCTTTTCTCGATTTAATGCTAGATTTTAAAAATTTGTGTATTTTAGGCAAGAAAACTTTGTATGGTATGTAAAAATTAAATAAGGAAATTAGCCATCTAAATTTACATGTGTTACCAAAATGTCACTACTCATCTTATGTATTTACTTATAATGTTGACTTTTTGTTGTGGTTTTAAGCATCTTATGACATGCCTTTTTTTTTTACTTAGTGAAAGAGAAGGTGCATTATCTACTGATACTCCTGAAGCCTCCTGTTTATTAGGTGGTAAGAGTATTTAATTTGTATTTAATGATTTTGAAACAGCATAATTTCCAATTGTATGTTAATATTTGAAATATATATATTTATATATATATATATATATATATGTATATATATATATATATATATATATATATATATATATATATATATATATATATANAATCATATTATGTGATGACTTTTTAAATCTAAGGATTATTGTGAGAAATAATATTACATTAGTGGTAAAATTTACTGAATGGCAAGTAATATTCATGTTTATGTTTTTTATATGTATATATATATATACTAAACTCAGTGGTGGGTATGCTGCCCATTGAGGGCAAAGGCCTACTGTGTCCATTCCAGTTTTCTTGACCTTGTGCTCTGGGATGTGGTAGCAGATATTCCAGTTGGATGGTAAGCTAAATGCAAAACCCCCAGTCTTTAGCCCCAAGTATGCTCGGTACTCATTTTATCAACCCACTTGAGGATGAATGGCTGAGTCAACCTTATAGGGTCTGAGAACTGAATCAGAGACCTGTGGCAAAAGAGCATAAAGCGCTACCACTCGGCCACTGGCCTAATAGATATATATGAATGTTTCAATTTTTTTAAATTATTTTATTAGGAACCATTTTATTGGAAATAATTTGGGTAATTCAGTTGGTTCTGTCACAAATAATAATTTTACTTAGCACATACTTCTTTCTGAACAAATTCTTAGCTGGGGACACTTTTTAACAGTCAAAATCAACAACTTTCCCCCTTTCCAATCTCCATTTTCACTCTAATTTTCTCTTTTTGAATTGTACCTGACTTCCAGTTTTTGTTTGATTTTAATTAGATTTCCTCTTAAATATGAAAAAAATTGAATATCCCAGAAGCGAAATTTAGCATTTCACTACAGCCCCCCTAAAAATCCTATATTTTTTTTACAAGTTTTGCATAAAAGGATTATTACTACTAAAAGTCACACTTAATTTCAGAGTGTGCGAAAATGACAAATTTTGAAAAAATTGCTGATTTGATAGAAAGTTGTCACGACTAAAGTGAGTCATTAATCGATTATTCAAAAGCTCGATTCAGAATTTGCAAATCATCACATTCAATTTAAAATGAAATGTAAATTTTGGAAACTAATTAGAAATTGCAAACCGATGATCGACAAAATCACATGGGCAATAAAAAATTTTACAAATAGAGTCATTAAAAAGTGATTCAAAATTTCCCGTGTATGATAATGTAACATTAAAAAACTGTGAAAATCTGTAACAATAACTGACAAAAATGTGATCGTAAATCCGCATGAAATTGCGGGGGAATCGTCAATAATTGAATGCGTAATGTGCAGTTCGAAGTTTGTCGATCAAAATAATATATCAAAACATTGAGATTTTATAAATTAAGTAAAAATCCGTTTTAATAACTGCCAAAAAAACGATCTGCAAATTCACCGTGGAATCGTTGTTAATCGGGTAGATTGACAAATGAATTCAGCTGAAATGCGTATTTCGAATTTTTTATCGAGATTTTAAAAACCATGTGGAAATCTGTAACAAAATCTTTGAAAATAGCACACACCATGTAGATTTATTTGTGTTGATTGAATTCGATATTATTATCGTCTATTTGTTATTTTTTATTGAATTAGGATGTTGTACTTTTATGACCTATTTTCTGGAAAAATCAATTTTCTGCTCTTACCAAAGTCCCATCGATTCCGGACATGGGACTTTCCTCTTTATATATATATATATATACACACACACATTAAAGGCAAAGCCGTCACTTACTTATTTTTCTTTTGGGCATGAAGTTTGAAGGCTAAAGCTTAAAAGGTAGAAGTTTAAAAACTTGATTTAAATTTACTTAGTATTTTTAATTACTATTTAGTAATTTGATACTTTTATTGTCTACCAGCATTTGAAGAAAAAATATTTTACTTAATTTGCTGAGAACAAATAAGTCTTATATATTTTTTCTCAAGCATAATAATTTAATATTTCCCTTTTTTTACTCTTTTTTTTTTATTTGTAGTATTTTACCTGTAAATAATTCCATATAAGTATAAGAGAAATACTTTGTAAAATTCCTGTTTTTTTTAAAATGCAAGTATTGGACAATTGTTTTAAATTAATCTTTTAATTTCATAGTTGTGTAACATATTTTTACACAGCCTTTTCAGATGTAATATAAGTTGGTATTTCTGCTTTAAAATAAAAGTTCTCTGTTTCCTGGTGTATCTTTTGAAAACAAGTTTTATACTGTGCGAATAATTCTTCAGCACAATCATCAATTGGTACTAAATCAATACTTTGCGACTTTAAAAGTGCAGAATTTATGTGTCTCATGTAGTTACCAATGCCTAGACATGAATTCTATAGCTTTAGATGACTCAAATCATTAATTATTTGTGTAGAATTGGATTTAGATAGCTATCATATATTATAAAAATGTGATTATATATAAAGCTTTTTTTATTACTATTTTCTCTCTATACTAATTCATCCTCAATTAATTTTTCTTTCAATGCATGTTGCAGCTGGAATTGAGATCCCTGAAGGAGTTGATCCATCCTTTTTAGCAGCACTACCTGATAACATTAGACAAGAAGTTATTGCTGAGCAGTTGAGATTACAACGTTTGAGACAGCGCTCCCAGACTGTCACAAATGAAAGTAATAGTGATGGCAGTTCATTTACTGAAGTTAATCCAGAATTTTTAGCTGCCCTTCCTCCAAATATTCAAGAAGAGGTTTGCTACTTTTTATATTTCAGAAATTGCTACTTAACGTATTTATTAGTTCTGACATATCGGTAAAACTACTTTTCAACAAGAAGAAATTGAAATTCTTATTTATGAAAATTATGACTAGGTTATTCAAAGGTGTAAACTTTATAAGTATTATATGCTGTACGAATGTGAAAAGTTTTTTTTGTAGCTTACTACTTTTTTACTGAAAATATAGTTAACTGTAATTAAAGTCCAAATGTAGTCACTACTTACGATTTAGTTTACACTCTTGTTCAAAGTTAAAAAAATAAATTGAAGATTGAAAAAAAATTCATATAAAGTTTACTGAACCGTCAATCTGTCCAATTCAGACAGCTTGTGTCTTAGCTTCTTCTGAAAAAAAAAATAAGTTGACTGAGCAAGAAAAAAAAACCTTTGTGTTCAAGCACTTCCCACAATAAAACTGATTTCTGTAAAACTTTTGAGTATGGCTGTAACTACTGGAACAGAGTTGTGTGGAGAGGATTATCGTCATGTAGAGCATCTTTTGAATTTGCCAAAATCGGTGTTAGCCAAAAAAAAAAAATTTTTTTTAGAGATAAAAAATATTGCATTTTATGGAGATTAAGTTTGCAATCACATTAAAAAATTTATTATGATTAATTACACAAAAAAGATTAATTATGCACATAACAAAAATATCTAAGTATCTAGCTATAAACACAAAGTACCTCTAGTTTCTATTAAAAAAAAAATTTACTGAACTTTTTATTGAAATTAAAATCAAATTTTAATAAAATATCTTTTTTTAACAATAGATAACAATCTGTAAAACATACTCTTTGTGGAACATAGTTATTACATCCAACTTGGTGGTTGTGAGTAAGAACATAGATAAGTTTTTGAAATCAAAGATTATTTCAAGATTCAAAGATTTCACAATTGAATTATGTTTCTTTGTATTAAGGAGGGAAAAAAGAGTTGCGAAAAAAGGGGAAAAAACTCCAGGCGATATTGGTAAAATAATTGGTGGGCTGCTGTGGGAATGCTTACTATTTTTTTACTAACTCTAATGATGAAAAAAATTTTTTTCACACCATATGATTTTATCATATGGTGGGAAACATTATTTTTGTTTGACTGGCATTTTATTTACATAATGTTGAAATTGAATATTTCTGAGGTTAAAAAATCATACGCAAACTCATTGTGCACTCAAATAAAATTAGGACTAACTAAGAACTCCAAGAAAATTATTTTATATGGATGTAAGACGACCCGTAATTAAAGTATGTGTAGAAAGCAAAGTGCTATTTTATTCAGAAATATCTTCCCCTCATTACTATAACTATTCTTAATCATTTATTGTATTATTTATTAGTTTCAAATAAAGGATTTGACACTAAATAATGCAATAATAATGCGAAGCACATTTTTTTCTGAGTGAAATTTTTTTATATCGAATTTTTTCTTATATTGTTTTCAAATAATTTACAAGTTTCTGGGATTTCCACTAGATAATGGCACAATACACAGAAAACACATTTCAATATATTTTTATTAACGAGTTACTAGTTTGTGAAGAGTATAACTCAGTTGTAATCTTTTTGTATATTTTAAACTACACAAAAGTAAGGAATTCAAAATTTTTATGGAATGCAACATTTTTCTGCTTATGATGTGAGCATATTTTCAAAGCAACTTAATAAAAATATATTTTTGAGAAAATAAGTATATAATAATTTTATTGATAGATTTTGTTATTTTATTTCTGTAAAGGAGTATATTTTTTCATGAGTTTAAAAAAGCCAATTAAATCACCCACTATTCCCATAAAAAAAAAGAAAAGATTCGAATGCAGTTTTGCTTAAACAATAGAGTTTAAGATTAAAATTTGTATCTTTAAAGGTATTAGCTCAACAAAGAGCTGAACAACAAAGATTAGCTGCTCAAAACTCCAATCCAGATGCCCCTGTTGATCCAACAAGCTTCATTCAAACATTACCACAAGGCTTAAGACAACAGGTATGCTATTTTTGAACTTTCTAAATTTATACTATGTTCTTTTAGCTATTTTAATGCTTATATGCTAATAATTATCAGTGTGGCCACCCATCTGTAAAACTTTGAAAACCTGCAATTATCAGGGAATTTTTTTATGTCTGGAAAAATCAGGGAATTTCAAAGAAAAGCTGGAATTTTTTCCTTAATTTAAAATATTTTACCATCCGTTATATCCACTTCTATTTAGACGTAAATTTATCGTAAAAAGGTTGAAATATCAACTAACCAATACTTTTCTTACATTAAAATTCTCTTCATTATTACCCTGCTAAACTAGAATGCCATTTCAAGCTCTTTTATGTGGGGAAATGAGTGGAGAAATCTTTGTCCTCTTTGGAGACTTATGGAGATTTGGAGTCTATGCAGTTTAAGAAAGGCAAAAATGTGAAAGAAAGGATTATGATATTTGCTTCTGTTTATAAAAGTAGCATTTTTTTTATTTAAATCTTTTAGTCTGTGGGCTGAATTCATTAATTGTTCAAGTTTGTTCCGATACTTTGGGGGTATTTTTTTCTTTCACCAAAATTATTCAAAATGTTTTAGTATTTTTATCTTGCACTCTTTTTCTGAAAGCTTTTGTCCAATGAATTATTTTTCTCAGCAAAGCCCACCAATCGCTTATAGCAAAATTTTTACAATTCTTGCATTGATGCTGGTTTTCTGGATTTCATGATAACTTTTATTTTGATATTTCTGAAATTGTTTCTTCTTTTTACCCTAAAAAGCTGACAAAAACCAAGAAATGTATGGAAAACATGTTAAATGATACATAAACTTAGAATGGAAGAAAAATTATTTATATTTGTTTGTTAGAAAGAAGGAAAACAAAACTTTGTTTTTTTGTTCTGCATTGTACAGAGACAGGTTTCAAGTTGGGCAACCAGATGACCAAAATTTTAAACTTAATTATTAAGTAAGCTTGGCATCATTTCCAAGGTAAAAATTGAAGATTTAGAAATACTGATTTTTAACTTAAAAATATCAGTTTTTGATAAGTCATAGGCTGTTAAATGAAGGGCAACTCATTTGAAATTTTCAACTGTAGTAAGGGAATATGTAACAAAGTGCAGTTTTTTTTTTTTGAAAAAAAAATTCACATTAATAATAGAAAAAGGAAAAAATAATAATTAAAGTAAACTATAACAAAACAGGTTGTCTTGCTCACATATGTAGAAACATTTCTCATTTTAATTTACAAAAAAAATTCTCAAGATACACTTTTGATGTTTTACGTGCAACACCAAAATACATAATTAATTGTATTGTAGCACTAGGATTTAATATAATAAAATTATTTTTTCTGTTTAAAGCAATTTTGATAATAAATATTTTTATTTTAAATTAATAATTAATTACTTTTACACACCACTCAGTCAGACACCACTGCTTTTCTTTTCATTACATCTGTTCTTATTTATTTTCATCTCTTATTGCATCTTTTCTTTATGAAATGAAGTAAAATATGAAGAGAAACAATATAAATATTTCTTAAGATTAATTTACAATAATATATTTCACCTCAGTAACCTAATAAAATATTTGAAACTATGCTGTACTTTAAGTTATTTATATTATAACTTAAAATTGATCAATAAAGTTTTAATATATATTTTTAATTTGATTTAATTTATTTACTTGAGGTAAGCATCTCAGTTTTAATATTTTTAGTAGCAATTTGATTTCATTTAGAACATTTTAAATAAATCAATTTGCTTAGAACTTGAAAAATATATGTATTTAGAGAAAAAATAATTTCAGAACATTATGTAGTTATTTATTTTTTGAGTAAAGAGAAAAATAAAATTGTGAAAAAATATTAAACCTACTTGCATAGCAAACTACAACAATAACTCACATCCTATTCAATTTTTAGGTAAATGGGATAAAAATTATGAGTTATTTAATGAAACTGGAGAGGGGGTGTTTAAAAAGAAATAAAAATTTATTCTTGAATTCATATTAATTTTTTTTCCAAAAATTTGGTGCATCTTTTATGCTACAACCGAACATATGCTCTTTCTTATTCACTCCTAGCTATGCCACTAAATAGAAGTAAAAGGCATATCGATAAATATTGTCTGCTACAAAAAGATTATTTAATTTTATGCAGTCTAATGATAATAATAATAAAGCTATTATCTTTTTTTCGCTGCCCGGAAAAATTTGTTATGGGCTAATAATACAGTAAAAAATTTTTGTTTTTTTCTTTTTAATATACAATGATTATTTTTTTTCAATTCATTTTTTTTAAAATGTATTTTTTCCCATATTCAAAAAAAAAAAAGTTTTTTATTCCATGATTTTTAAAATGATTAAATTGAAGAAAATATTGCTTAAATATGAGTTTTATTTATATATTTAATACATTACACTGATGTTAATATATTACATTATTGTTAATATACATTGCATAGTTAAAATGAATGATTTTTCAACTAACTTTTATAAGATAGAAAATGTTATAAAACATATTAATCTGACCATTCCAACAGGAAATAGAAGACAATTTAGATTTAAAGAAGCTATTTAATTAAAAAATAATATTTATAGCATTAAGATTAAAATTAAAGTAATTTTCAGTCATTATAATGGTTATCATTAACTTAAATTTCTATCCAAATTGAGAAATTTTTGTCTGACACTGAAGTAAAAAATTTCAAATTATGTATCATATTTTACAAACAACTGCATAGACTTTTTTATTCAAATGTCAGCTTCAAAATTCAGTCAAATTTACATTTAAATTACAAATTCAGGGTTTAGACAATTTGTAAATTAGTAATAATTTTTTGCTTTCACGATGAGATTCACATTAGACAGCAACAATTTAATCAATTTAGTTTGAACTTATAATAATCAGCTTTTATAAAATAAACTGTTTCTCTTTAGGTTATGATATACTAAATATTTAATGTAAAAATTTGATTATAAACTTTTGTTTTATAAGATAGCTTTTCTAAGAAATTAATGTTCATTTTTTTCCGACACCATGAATTGCCCAGATGTTAAAACAAAACCAATTAACTCATCTACACTAGGAAACCATATTAGATTGGAATTCTTAATATATTCTAATTTCCATTAAGAAAGAAAAAAAAAAGAATAAAAGTTAAAGAAATTTATCTCATTTTTTCTTCTTCTATAGAATATGCAACAATTTTTCCTTTACAAATACTGAATATGTCTTAACGTAATAGGGTTAATTTGAAGCAAACAACATTATTTAAACATTTGAATTATGATATTGGTTTAAAGAAAATTATTTCAATGAATTTTATGAAGAGTGCTGTTTGTGTAAAATACAGTATAAAATGGCTCTATATTGAAATGTAAGTAAATAAAAAAATTTATTGGTTTCTAATCACCTGGAATTAATTTCTTTTGCTTAATAAAAATGTATTAAACTGTACTTATCCAAGGTTGTTTTGGGTCATTGATATTTTTACATTTTGTGCAAAAACTATTTAACACTTAAAAAAAATTTAATTCTTTAAAAGCGTTATTTTCATCAAGCTAAACATATTATTTCCTCCACATCTATTCAAGATGATATTCACTAATATTCACTAATATTGACACATTTCTTACACCTATACTACACTTTAGCAGAAGAAGAAAAAAACATGCTGACCTGGAAATTTTAAGATTTTTACTGGAAAACCTGGAAAAATCAGGGAAATTTGAAACCTGATTTGAGTGGTCACCCTGATTATGAAGACTTGAAGTTAAAGATTTTGTTTGTCATATTGATAGTTGAGATTAATTACCTCTTAGTGTCTGTAATTTTTCACTTGCCAAAAATTATCACATCTCAAAATAAAGCCATGTGTACCTATGCTTAGGATTTTACTTGTAGGAGTGTTTAAAAAATGATACATCCACTGGAATGCACAGATTATTATTGTTGAATCTTTGGCTAATTGGCTATTCCACAATCAAATGCTTAGCTGTGTGGATACTAATTATTCTTTTACTCAACCACTGAAAAATTCCATTTTTTAAAAAATTGTTTTTTTTGTTTAAAAATTCCTGTTTTATATTTTTGAAAACAGCTCAATAAGTTTAAAGTAATTCTAAACTGTTGAGGGAAAATAACAAATATTGTTGGTTATTATGATAAATAAAATGATCTAAAAGACAAAAAGGTTTTAAATTATAAATAAAATATGTTCATTAACTCTAAAACTTTGTTTTTGCTTTACAATTATTGGAAGCCATTTAACTTCAGAAAATGCGAGCGTCCCAAAATTAAATAACCTGTCCCAAAGTAACCCCATTTTACAGTATTTGCTATTTTATTTTATTATTATTATTTTTTTAATAAGGAAGCTTTTCAATTTTTTTAACTTGCAAAGCAGGCGATGATCCACAAAAGATTGGAAACTTAAGATTTAAAGGAAATAAATATGCAATAAAATGTGTGGAAAAAAATGTTTTGTGGTCTCTCAAATATATTTATATATGTTTGTACAAAATTTTTTTATTCAATATTCAAATGAGTTAGAATAATATAAATGTACACTACCCTACAATAATGAAAGAAACACTTTCACATTTTGACATTTTTAAAAAAATATTTCAAGAAATACTCAGAAGATTATTTTATAACTTCATAGTTGTTTGGTTCGTGTGATTTTTCATACTTAACAATAAACTTAAAAGCTTTCAGTGGTTTGAGGGGCCAACAATAAATCACGAATGAAAACTAGTATTTTTAAACACACTATGCCAGAAAATCAAGCAAATAAGCTTGTAACTTGAAAAATTACTTTAACTATTATTTGCAATAACTGCATAAATTTCGTAATTCTGGCTATATTTATAAAGATATGGACATTTTTATTAAAACTAATTTTTTGTCTTACATTTTTGGCTATAATTTTAAAAATATTCAGTAAAATTAAATGAAATTTTTGTAGCAATTTAAAATGAAATGTAATATTTTTTTAAAAAAAATTTGATTAAAATTAATTTAGATATGAGTTTTTAAAGTAGCTCTTTTGTTCTGCTCATACAAAAAAAACAATTTTTTTTATAGTGAATCATATTTGGCAACTAATGAGGAAAAGTCCTATTTGAATATCTTAAAAACTTAAAGTTGCGAGCTATTTTCAATGTTTTTTTTTTTTTTTTACTTTTGAAAATGAAACTCAAAATGGTCAAGTTTTCCTCAAATTTTATTTTGTTCTTATTGTTAAGCGATATGGTAGTGTCATTTGCAATACTACTAAACAAAGTTAGTGGAAAACCCCTCATTATTTTCAGCTTTATTTTAAAAAGTACAAAAACTGCATAGAAAATTGCTCACAACTTTTTACGTTTTTAAGATATTCAAATAAGCCTTGTTTCATTAATTGTCAATTATGATTCAACTACGAAAAAATGAAAAAATCTTTTTAATTTTTTTTGCTCATGCAGAATAAAAGAGAACTATTTTAAATACTCATATCTTGCATAGTTTTAAGCTTCCTCACATTTTAAGACAAGATTTTTGTATTTAATTTTAAATTGCTCTAAAAAATTCTTTAATTTAACTGAATATTTTTTAAATTATGGCAAAAAAGACAAAAAAAATTAGACAAAAAAGCTTGTTTTTATAAATATTCAAGCTAGGCTTAAGTAGTTATAAGCAGTAATTGCAAATAAAACCAAAGTAATCAATGCAAGTTTCAAGTTAATTGCTTAATTTTCTGCCGTAGGGTGTTATAATAAAACTTGTTTTCTTCTGTAATTATTTATTTTCAGTCACTCAAACCACTGAAAGCTTTGAAGCTTATTGCTAAGTATGAAAAATTGCATGAACTAAACATCTCTGAAGTTACAAAAAACTCTTAAGTATTTCTTGAGAAATTTAAAAAAATGTCAAAAATTGAAAGCTCCTCTTCTATTATTGTAGGGCATTAGATACATAAGAAAATAAGCGAAGAAAATATTTGCATTATTCTAAGTTCTTGAAATGTGAAATTGGAAAATAATTCTTTTAAAGTTTGAAAAGAATCAACTTATTTAAAAAAAAAAGTTTAACTGGCTCAATATGGTGCCTTAACACAATGAAGATTAAACATTGTACCAGGCAGACTGTTCAGAATTATTTATTACATTTGCGGTAAAGTTCTTTTTTCATTTTAAATTCTGAACTAATTATGAAATTAAGTTTATTGTAAGTTATAATTTACTTTTAATTTCTTGCACAAAATCTTGCTTAATAAAATTGAAAGCTTTTTTTCAAGTCCACTACTAAAAGAATTAAATTTGTTTACTTAACACTGTTCTATTATTTAGTTGTCGCTGGTATATTTTATATCAAGTAAACATAAAGGGTAGAAAGGAGTGGCTTTCCTTGTACCATCTAGATTGGAATATCAATATTGTCAGATACTTTTTATTATTCTTACTGCTTTGGTTGAATTATAATATTTTCTATTGTCATAGGTTTTAGCTGATATGGATGATAGTCTGTTAGCTGTTTTACCCCCAGAACTTGCTTCAGAAGCTCATGCATTACGTAGAGAACTAGAGGCTCGCCATAGGCAAATTCAAGAACGTTTCTTTTCATCTCATGCTGGTACAGCTTTATCACGGATTTTACGATCAGCTGGTAAATTATGTTTTCGCAACTAAGTAGTATTAATAGCACAACTCCATTTGAATTATTTTTTTTTATTCTTATAGGAATTCATATTATAGAAATAATTGCCTTTAATAATAATGCAAATTTTGTTTTTACTTGAAGATAAAACGATTTACTGTTTTTTTCTTCTTTGGCAATAAAGTAGCATAGGCTTTCGAAAGACTTCCTATAATTATAAACATATTGTATCGATAACAATTAAATCAATGCATTCAAGAATAAAAACTGTCATGCTAGCTCTATGATAGCTTTTTGTTCATTTATCGGTGTCATAATTTTTTATTAATGTAATGTTTTCTTATATATATATTAATGCAATTTAAGAAATACAAAAATTATGAAAATCGAATGAAAAAATTACAAGATATAAAATTTCAAGTTGCGACAGCACCAAGCTGCTAATGTCACACCTGGAAGAGTATTTGAAGAAAATATTATAAGATGAAATAAAATAAGTTATTACCTCATAAGAGAACTGAAAGTGTCAGCACAACAGAGGAAAACCAAAATCATTAACACCAAATAACAAGCTAAATAATAAAGAAATACTGAAAATAGCAATCGAGCTATCAAAAAGAAATTAAAATGGAAACACTCGCATACATGGTAGTTGCCATGCAGCTAGAGTGGGAACAGTTTCAACGATTTGCAGTTTATTAATACAAACAATTAAATCAATATACTGTCCCAAGATAAAAACAAAATAAACCCACTGCAAGTCAGATGAAGATTATATACTGAAATATTGAGAATCAAAGATACCACCATAAAATCACCAGATAAAAAACAGAATTTAGAAAGTTGAAGGTTCGAGTACCAATCAAGTATGTGGGTCTGAGAATGTGTAAAAAGATTAGGAAAAAATAAAATATATAAATAGAAGAAAAATTAACTCTATAAACATTAAATTTAAAGTTAACCATAATAAAACAATTGGAAATATAAACAAACTCCCTTTTATGTTTCAAAGTAAATCTAACTGAACCTTCAGTGCCTGGGTGGCCCATCTACAGCAAAACGCTACACATTACTTCGTCTTGGAAGGCATTCCTCTACTGAATTAGGTACCTGCTATGAATCCAATCTGGATATTATCCAGGTGAAGCTTACATTAATTTTTCAGTTTTTTAAGAAAAATCTTTTGAGGTAATAACTTATAATATATAATATGTAACTTATAATATATTATAATTATAATATTCATCTTATAATATTTTCTTCAAATAAATTATGTATATATATGTAGATTTAATATTTGAATAATAGTTTAGCTCATAAAAATTTCAAGCATTTTTTCCTGTGATTCGCATGATGGTTAGAATGAAAAGATTCAGTAAAAACAGTGATGTAAAAAATTTTCGAATTGCTTTCTGACTGTTAAAAGATTTTATTTTATATTTCAAAAATTTGTTTCTTAATGAATTATTTTTCAATCTCTCTAAATATAAAAATGAATGAAAGGAAGTTTTTAACTTTACAATCAAATCACGATTTTGTAAATGTGTAGCTTTATTTAAATTTATAAAATGTTGCATAAATTTTTTACCGTGTATTGAACCTGGAAATTTTCTAATTATGTTACTAAAAGCCTAGAAAATTCAAAAATTTGCAAACAAAATCTTTGTCAACATCCTAATCCAAAGAGCAAAAGAAATTGCTTTTAAAAGAAAAGTTTACTTTTTTTATTATCAGAAAACAGTTATGCTTTTAAGTTGCTATTTAGGAGGTTATTGTATTGATACTAGACAAATGTTTGGTTTCTGTTTTAAGTTGTGATGAAAGAGCAGCCAGTACATCCAACCATTAACCGACCATGTTAATTTTTAAATTTTACTATTCACACTTTAAAGTAATTTCTAAGTATACAATTTGAGGTCAACATTTATTATCATTTTCACTCTTCTGGGGGAAAAATATTCATTTTGATCTAATATGTTATTTTGAATTGAAACAAATTTTTATTAATTTTGCAAATTTTTGTTAAAATTCAAAAGAAACTTGAGTTATATTGAGAAACTTGAGTCTAGAAAAACAAAATTTGGTTGAAAAGTAATTATTTTTGGAGCTATTTTAAATGTGAGAGTAAAAAAAAATTAACATTTAAAATGCTCTTTTTATGTCTATTTAAATGGCTTGAAATTAAGATTAATAGGTTTTCATTTATTTCAAATTGATTTTTATTCTGACCTGACACTTGTAGGTTAATTGGTCAATTATAAATTGGATACCTGCAGTTGACGTTATCATAAATATTGATCCTGATTGGCTGTTGAAATGTAGCATTTGTTTGTGTTAACAATTGTTCTTTCCATTCTATTTCAAGTAGGCCAGCTCACCAAGTTTAAATTCACTATGCAATTTAGTAATTGATTATCATATCATGTGATAATCTTGTAAATAATGAATTTTTGTAAATAACTAAAATATGTAATTAATACTTAAAAGACAAAAGAAATAAGCTACAAATGTTCCTATATAAACAAGAGAAAAAAGTCGACATTAAAACAAGCCTAATAGCTGTAACATTTACTTGCCATCTTGTTTATAAACATCCAGCTGGCACTAATGTTATGTGAGGGGTTGTGTATCAACTGTTTTTTTTTATTTTATTATTTAGAATTGAGAGTATTCCATTTTAAATTCACTTAAATCAACATTTTGCATATTCAAGCTATGCAAATTTGGAAAAGAGCTGCAATCTAATTGGCTACCTTCTTACTATTGTTTTGTTGAAGAACACAGAGGCAATGCCGGCAAATAACGAGTTTATTAAAATACAACTTGAGGAAATAATATTACGCACACACAGTGCTATGCAAAAGAAAATACACTTAATCAGTAATCATATCTTATGATGCGACCGAACGAACCATGCAACACTCAGGCAGCTGCTTCAACTGCTATGTACGGATTTCCCCTATCAGGAAGTCGTTATACTAACTTACGCAAGAAAAATGAGGTTTTGTTCGCATATTAACAACACTCCCCCTGCGAATAAATACACATTTTTTCCACAAAATATAAAACATAAATAAACTAATTTCTCATACTACTTACTTATTAACAATCAATCAATTAAATTTATTTGTGACCAAGTCCATGTGAGCTTGTCAAAAGTTACAGCTTTAGTTAGGAAATCTGTGATCATTTCGTCGGTTTGCACATACTCTGCTTTTATAATTTTGCCAATTATATCCTTTACGTAATGAAGTTTCAAATTGATATGTCTCATTCTAGAAGATGATTTTGCACTATTCATCCAATCAATTGCAGATTGATTGTCTGACGAAATGGTCACAGATTTCTTTACAAATATAGAACAATGCAATTCTTCTAATAAATTTAATATCCACATTAGTTCTTTACAAACACCACCTAAAGAAACAAGTTCTGTTTCGCAAGTGGATAGAGCAACTGTTTTTTGTTTATTGCTCTTCCATGAAATTAAAGAATCACCTAACATTACAATTTCTCCTGAAAATGATTTCCTATTTTCAGAATTTCCCCAGCTTGCATCGGCATGAGCAGTCAAAAGTCCTGATTTGTTACTAAAAAATAATTTTTTATCCTTTGTACCATTGAGATATTTTAACACTCTTTTAGCTAAATTAAAGTGTCGTTTCTCAGGTTTATGATCAAATTGAGATAAGTAGCCCATGACAAATGCTAAGTCTGGTCGAGTTCTGTTCAAGTGATATAAAAGTTCCCATATTTATTCTTGATATTGTGTTTGATTAACCATTTCGTTTGAACAGTTAAACTCCTAGCCTCACCTCTTACGATTGGTATTTTTACACATTTAGAATCAAACATACCATGTTTCTGAAATAAATAGTTTATATATTCAGTTTGAGACAAAGCTGTGCTCTTTGCTCTTTTATTTATTTCAATACCTAGAAATTTATTCTCTGTATTTTCTCTCACTTCAAATATCCAAGATAATTTTCCCACTATATCATACATTTGCAAGTCTGAATAAATAACTATTAAGTCATCTACTTATATTCCAATATAAAAATATTTAGAATTCTCTATTGTAGTGAAAATACAATAATCCGAAGCTAGCTGTTTTAAACTAAGTTTTTCTAATTCCTGTTTAAGATGTAAATGCCAATTTCGACCTGATTGGGGTAATCCATAAAGTCTACGTTTTAATTTGCATACTTTATTTTCACCATACAAATGTTTGAAACCTGAGGAAATAGTCATATATAGTTTCTTCTAAATCACTATAATGATAGGCAGTTTTTATATCTAAAAATTTTACTTCTAAATTTAATTTGGCAGATAATGCTAACAACAAACGCAAGGATTCGGTATTTAACACAGGTGAATAAGACTCTGAATAATCAAGATTTTTTACTTGATTAAAACCTGCTGCTACTGACCTGGCTTTGTATTTATTTTTTTTCATGGTAAAAACCCATTTACTCTTAACTATTTTTACATTTTCAGGTTTATCAACTAGATCCCAAACATCGAGTTTGCGAATAGAATTTAATTCTTCATTCATTGCTTTTTCCCATTTTAACCAATTTTTATCACGTTTAGCTTCATCAAAATTACTTGGAATATTAGTTACTAAGTTTGAACTTGCTTTTGGCTTTATTCTATCTGACCAACGTACACCTAGCTCTAGTAATCTGTTTTCATCTTCAGTTATTCGTTGTTCATTTGATTCCCTAGTTTTTTCTTTAGTTGAACCTACTGGACGACCACGAGTTTTAGTTTCACTTAAATCTCGGCTATCCTTCAAATCCAGTGGAAATTCAAAACTTGTATTTTGGTCTTCTACGTTAGTTTGGATATTAAAAAATTTATCGATGTCATTAGATTTATCCTCACTGAACAAATTACTACTACCTAATAATTTCTCATTAAATTTTACTGAACACTCTTCGATTACTTTATTTCTTTCAGGATCATAAATACGATAAGCTCGTCTTTCATTCGAATATCCCAGCATAATACTCTTTTTACCTGGAATAGAAAGTTTGTGTCTTAAAGCTTTAGGAACGTGATAGTATACTGTGGATCAAAAAACACGTAGATATTTATAAGTCTGCTTTTTATTAAAGAATAATTCTTTTGCAACATCAGTTTTACTTTTTCGAGGAGTTAGATTCGTAACGTGTTGCATAGGCTATTGGTTCAGTCCAAAAATTTAAAGGAAGTTTACTACCATAGATTAATGTTCTAGCTCTATCTAACAAAACTCTATTAGCTCGTTCAGCTTTACCCAAATTTTGTGGGTTGTACGGTACAGATTTTTCATGTGTAATTCCGCATTTAGTTAAATAAAACTCAAGATCTTTATTTACTAACTGAAGGCCATTATCACTACGAAATTTCTTATTTAGTAAGTTTTCAAATTTCAGCTTAAAACTTACAATTTTATCAAATACGTCAGTTTTGTTCTTAAGAAAATTAGTAAAATGCATGCCAGAAAAATCATCTACTATTGTTAAAAAATATCTTGAATTACCTAAAGACTTAACTGGGAGTGGTCCACACAAATCACCATGTATTAATTCTAAAATTGCTGAAATTTGAGGAGCTAAAATACTATAATGAGGTTTTCTAGTAATGGAAATATCACATGATTCACAAGATAATTCATTATCAATTTTTAAATTTAACACTTTAGACATTTTACACATATAATCAGCATTTAACTGACACAATCTTTTATGCCAAATTACATTCATTTTAACTTTGTTATACCCAGAAAAGCATACCTCGTTAACATTAGGTTTTAGCTTAACTTCTAATTTTTTTTCGCATTTAAAGCTTTCAAAACTAAGCGTCCATTAGGAGCAATAATTAATATTGAGTTTGAATGTGATTTAACCTTATACCCTTTATCCATTAAACATGTAACTGACAGTAAATTATGATGCAATTCTGGTACATACAATACATTACCAATTATAATTTTTGCATTATTACTTAGTGAAATAGCTTTAACAGTTCCGGTTCCTTTAGTATCCAATGTAAAAGTCTTACCTGCCTGGTATATTTTACTGTCGCAAACATCTAGAGAATCAAACCAGCATTCATCTTGCACATATGAGACGTGGCCCCGCTGTCCATGATCCAACATCCGTCCACTTGTCCTTTCTGTTCAACTGAAACTAAAGCGAAATTATCTGGAGTAGCACTATCGGATAACAATGTTTCTTGAAATTTTGGTTTTCGACGACCTTTTGCTCTACTTGTCGATGGTTTGTAGCCTCTATCAGTTCCCACTTCTTGATGTTTTGATTAACAATTCCTCGCTATATGTTCCGGTCATCTACAGGCATAGCAAATTTTCCTTGGTAAATTCTTCTTCTGAGTAGCGTGCGTAGATTCGAAATTTCTTTGTCCACTGGATTTCTGTAGTAAATCTTTTTCTTCTCTTAAGACTTCGAGTATTTCTTCTAGCGGCTTTTCTCGTTGAGTTTTTAAAACTTGTTTTATGCGCTTATATTTTCCAGCTAGACCTCTGACTGTGTAAAACACCAATTCTCTGTCTGATATTTTCAGTCCCAAGGAAGCACACTTAGTAGATAATCCTTTAGCTCGAGCTATATAATCGTTTACGGCTTCAGAATCCAGCATTTCTAAGCTCTTAAGTTCGGCACCCGTATCAATCTTTCTATCTTCTTCAAGCCCAGTGTAGGTAGTTTTAATCCTTGTCCACAACACTTTTGCATCCTTTTATTCTGCATATTGTAAAGCCTTTTCGTCTGATAGCGACAACTTCAAGTATGATACGGCATCTTGGTTAGTAGTTTCCCAAACCTGCAATTTAACAGGGTCAGTTGGAGCTTCCTCCGCCAATGCCGACATTAGTTTTTTCAAATTCAAAACCTTTTTCCTTGGTGATCGTAAACCACGCTCTGCTACCAACTGTTTTGTTGAAGAACACAGAGGCAATGCCAGCAAATAAAGAGTTTATTGAAATACAACTTGAGGAAATAACATTACGCACACATAGTGCTATGCGAAAGAAAATACACTTAATCAGTCATCATAGCTTATGATGCGACCGAACGAACCACCCAACACTCAGGCAGCTGATTCAACTACTATATTCGGATTTTCCCTATCGGGAAGTCGTTACACTAACTTATGCAACTAACCTGAGAGAGAGAGAGGAAAAATGGGGTTTTGTTCGCATATTAACAACACTTACTATAGCACAAATTGTTTTAAAAATAATGCTCTATTAATAATTGAAATAGAAAGTTTAATTTCCCTTATATTTTTTAAATCATTGTAATTTTACTTTAATTAGCACAACAAATTAGTAATAATGCAGAGATGCCAATTTGCTCCGGACAGCAAATAAATATTTTCGAGTGGTAGTTTATAAATGTGGGAATCTTCGTTTAATAAATTCAATTTATTAGGTCTTTATCCACCACTATTTCCAAATAATTCAAAGGATTGTATAATTCGCCACTTGTTTATGTTTAAGTCATGTGACACAGTTTAAAAAGTAAACAAAATTAGTCAAATCTTTGCGAAATTTAATATGTACTTGTTTACCGTTTTTTAAATTATTATGGCGCCTCTGGAGCAGTTGGCATCTGATAATGTAAGTAAAGAATAAGGATGTAACAGAATCTGAGAAAGTGACTGCTTGTACTTCTCCTGCCACATGCTTGGTAAACCTAGAGGAAGGGGATTCAGTTCTTGTGATCTATGCTATTGATGAAACAAATCCTGTGAAATAAATATTTTAGTAAATTTATGTTATCTTAAAAAAAGGTGCATGATGTCTATATCCTTTTAATGTTCACTTATTACAAAAATAAGCTGCTATAATTTAAAATGTGTGGAATTGTAACATTAAATTCATATACAAACCTACTTATAAAAGAATTTATGGTTATTTTGAGATTTACCCCTTCAGTTAATTGCTTTTAGTAAACAGTATGAAATGAGCATTTTATTTTTGTTTTCTGTTGTAAAAATTTTTTCTCTCCCTCTTTAGGCCGTGTTGGAGCTCGGTACACTATTCATAGTTTACCTCAACGTGGACAGTGGACATGGAATGCTCTATCTCCTAGAGGTACTTCTAGTCCATCTCGTAATACAGCTGGCCTTTCTGGCACTTCTCTTACTAATTCTATGCGACTGCGTGGACGATATTTGTTAGACCATGAAGCATTGGCTTGTCTTCTTGTTCTGTTATTTGTTGATGAACCTCAATTAAATACTGGTAGACTACACAGAGTATTCAGAAACTTATGCCATCATGGACCAACACGAATCTGGGTTGTAAAGGTAACTTCCTTTTTACATCAAATTTAAATTTTCCTAGACCTAATCTCAGAACATATCGAATAAAATTTCTTAAATAGATTGTGACAGAATGCTGTTAGACTCTTAAAATGCTTAGTTATTTATAAATAGTTCTTTGTATGAGTGGTGCCATATTTTAATTGTGAGAGTTTGGTTTTTATAGAGCAAAATAACTCCTTGTTAAATTCCTTCTCGCAAAGAAATTCTTGGTATTTTTTAGAAGAATTACAATCCTTGATTCAGTTGATAATTGGATGTTATTATTTCTAACATTTTGAACAAATGTGTCAATAGAAAGCACTTTTCTATTCCCGTTTTTTTATTAGAGTTATTATAATTTCTTTTAGTAAAATTATGTTAGTTTAGTGGTTATATATTTTAAGTAGTGTGTCTTTATACTTGGGTTCTTATATTTTAAAACAATGATGTAACCGTAAACATCCAATATATAGCAACTTTAAAGAATGCAGCTAACCCAATTTACACTAGTTCTTTTGGTTCCAAATTATGAGATGCATAAAGGATTGTCTCTGTTTTTATTGTAGCTATTATGTAAACAGCAAAAAAATTTTTTTTATCTATATACTTTTATTTACGTATATAGCTTTAAAAAAATTATTTTAACCCCCCAAAAAATATATTCTTAAACCAAATCAACTACAGTAATTTCCGGTAAATAGGCCGCAGCCTATACGTGTTTAAAAGTTGGGCTGTCACGATGCGCGGCCTGTACGCCGATGCGGCCTATATGTAGAATTTTTTTATCATGGTGGATTTATTCAAAATCAGATGTTTGGCGAAAATTTTCCAAAATAACGAACCTAATTCGTAGTGTTTACTCTGGTAACGTTTTTCTTTCTTATTTTTTTAAATTAATTTGCCGAATTTCGGATCGCTTTCGGAAATTCCAATATGGCGCCCATATATTACGATAATTCAATTATACTGTTAATTTCCGAAAATTAATTAATTACAATAAATTTAGTTCAGTTTTGATCGTAGATTATGATGGGGTGAATTTAAAAATGTCCCATCTTAAGAAATTTCATTAATTAAAATAATTATCTATATTATAGAAATAACAATATATATTTTTAATAAGCTAACAACTAATGATTAAAAAACAAGCTAACAACTAAATACAATTTAAAAATAAAAACTAGCTTTCAAATAATAAAAAAAAATAGCAATTAATATCTAATAAAAAACAAAAGAGATTGATTTACATCGAATAAAAAGAAGCCTCAAAAGGGATAGAATTCATTTTGTATCCCACTTGGTAGTTTCAATTTCAAAAGGGTGTGGCTAATTTATGGTCAAACTGGAGGGGGAAAAAATGGGGACAAATGAGTAGAGCATTTCCACAGCTGTCAAGATTGATTTATCAGTTTCTTCCAACTTGCATTTCTTTATTTTGTTCATTGGAAATGCAGATGTTTTTACTTTTCCCTTTATTTTAAACTGCTTTTAGAAACAGATGTTTCCTTTGACTCAGATTTGTTTTCATGTTTTTTTTTTAAAGATAAAATAAAGTTACTTCATCAGAATAAAATTCAAATAAAAAGAGAATTATACTGATTTTTTTTTCTCTTGTTAGTAAAAATTTCTTCTAAGAAAAAAGGATCAGGTTAAGTGCTGAATATCCAGCAGTGAAGAATCAGATTTCGATGGTTTTGAATAGATATATGCTCAAAAATATTTGAAAAGTATAAATAAATAAATCCTGATTTATTTTGTGATTAGTTTATTTTTTATCGCATACACATCCTTAACTTAGGATCATTCTCAATTCTTTCTTTTTATAAGTATACATAAAAATGAGGATGATAATGTAATGAGTATACATAAAAAAATTTTTATCAATAACTTTTTTCTAAGTATAGAGTTTATGTTTTAAAGATTATTATTTTTTATGTGTATTTTCACACATGTGATATTTGATAAAAATCGATGATCGATCGAAAAACGAAAGTGCGGCCTTTACGACGGTGCGGCCTATAAGATGAAAATTGAAATTTTTAACGATGTTTTTTGCGGGTGCGGGCGGTGCGGCCTATTTACCGGAAATTACTGTACTGTTTATGTGTTGAAACTGAATTAAAAAAAGTAATTCTTTTCTTTCAGTCTCTGTTGTCTATATTAGAAAGAACTAATGACTACCAAATTACAGAGAGCCCTCCAGATACTCATCGTCATAAAAAATCGAAGCAAAATGCTTTGGAGTCACATTTAACAAAAAAGTAAGCTAGAAATTTCTATTTTTATATGCATTATCACTGAAAAAATTTGTTTAATGTTATAAAAGCAATTTATAGCTGGACATAATAATTTCTAGCATGTCCTTTATTGGCTGCTATAAAAGAGGAACTATTATCTTTTTGAAAGTGTTAAGAAATTTTTATTTATTTATTTTTGCTCAACAACTATCTTTTTTAATTTTGGTCAAAATTCATGTTCTATAATTAAGGGCTTTGATTTAAAAAGAAGCAAACTCCATTATTTTTTAGTTATAAATGTTCAAAAATATTAGATGGGCAGTGAAGTACAGAATTTAGTATTTTATTAGATTACTTATTCTTTTTATTTTTCTATTCCTTCCTCTCGTTTTGTTTAGTTTCCTGTTTAAAGTAGGAATTTCTTTTTAAGTTTTTTCTAGTTTTAACTATCCTCTGTTTATATTGCTGAATGCATTAAGTTTCAAATTTGATTCCAATGTGTCACATGAGCGTGTTTCTTAGATCTTTTTAAAAAAGTATCTAAAACTGCCTGATGTCCAGTGGCAGAGTGGTAGTGCTTCATGCCATGCTGCAGAGCCTGGGGTCTATCCTCGAGCTGGGAAAGGTTGACTCAGAATTTTATCCCATTAGTGGGTCGATAATATGAGTATCAGGTTGCTTGGGGACTAAACACTGGAAGTTCTGTGTTTGGTTGACCACCGAACCAGAACATCTGCTCCTGCATCCCAGAGCCCAAGGTCAAGAAAACTGAGATGGGCTCAGTAGGCCTTGGCCCTCTTTGGGCTGCCGTGCCACTGAGTTAAGTTTTATCTAAAACTGCTTTGTGTCTGATATTGGTAAATGATACTTGATTTTTATTATTTTTAATGGGTTAACAAATTTTTTTTGTCCAATTGTAAGAAATTTTTCTTAGACGGTTTGAGCCAGAGATTTCACTGCCACTCGCCATTGCGCCAAATTTCAACAAAATGTTTTATTTGTTGATGACGCAATTTTATTCTTTGTTTCATTCTTTTCAGATATCCAAAACTTTTTAGAGTAAAATTGGTTTGGTAATTTCTATATTTGAATTAACATCAGCCTATGTTTTTATTTGGCTTATGTTTTTTTCTTTTCTTTCAGATTAGCCAAATTGTTTTTAGAAGGTAGTGAGAACACTGTTTTGAACTTCATTAAATTTAAATATTTTTCTTTACGTCGTAAAAATATTTGATTTTTACGTATCATGAATAAATGCTATTGATACGTTTGATGTTGCACTAGAAAATTGTATATTTGAATTGATTAAATAGTCTTTGATATTTAAAAAAATAAGCTTTATGTTAATTGTCATTAAAAGTTATTAATTAGTTGGGCAAAAAAATTTTTTTTTAAATTTAAGGAATTATTTTACAGGGTTTAACTTCACTAAACTCCAATGTTTTTTTACGTGGTCTGTATATAAAATTCACATAACAAAAAAATATATTTTGATACGTTTACAAATTGTATATTTGTACTAGTTTTATAGCTTTAACGTTTTATTACTTTTTGGTAATTTTTTAAATTTTTGTAATTTTAGCAAAGATTCTTCCAACCGTAATTTGCAGCCATCTTGGCTATCCATTAGCTTAGATGCTGCTTTAGGATGCCGAACTAATGTTTTTCAAATCAGGCGATTTACAACAGCACATCGCCGGACTAGTGAACGGCACAAAGATACCACTCAAAAAGCATTACCTCCCAATATTCCATTAGTTGCTATTCATCCTTTAGCATCTCCAGTTATATGCAGGTATGTACTCTTAAAATATATAGTACTTTATTTCACCTTTAGTTGAAATTTTTTAACCTTCTTAATAAATTTAAACTATTTTACTTCAAACTTCCATAAAGAGAACGATTAGCAGTGCTTGATAGAGTACTTAGGGTGTAATCTTAAGATGTGTAATGACAAATCGACAGTTTGCTATTTACGATTGTTATTTGTGATGGGATGATTTGAGTGTCATTTTATTCATCAATTTCTAATACAGTGTAACGTCCCATATCCGGACGTCCCTTTCCCGGAAGGGTCGATTTCCCGGACACTTTTTAACAATCAAAATAAACAAACATCTCTCCATCATCCCCTTTCCTTTAAAAAAAAAAGAAAAAAGAAGTCTTTTGACACATTTTCTCTTTTCCGCATCGAACCCATAAATCACCAGAAAGGGGAGATCTACCAAGACCATTGAGTGACCGTTAGTGACGCTCCTCCCTTGGAATGTAGGAAAAAGAGGGAGATTTGTTTTCAAAAGACCGCAACTGAGTCCCCCCTCCTTTCCCATGCTGGTGGCTAGTAAAAGAGGCATTTCCTGGAACCTTTTTATTGAAAGAAGAAATACTGTGGAAAAGGGTAAACAGGGCAAGCGTAAGGTGGAGGGGGAGTCAAAATGGGAAATTTGAGTAGGTCTAAAAGGATATACGTCCTTGAGAAACAAAACATTCGTTCTTCCCCATACCATGTAATATTTAGGAGGCGGGGGGAAAAAGGGGTTAGCATTCTTTCTTTAGCAGATTTTTTCAGTCATAGAAGAAAAAATAAAGAGAACCCGATCAGCGTGCCCCGCCTCTATGCTTGATTGATAGCCAATGATTGGAGAGAAAACAATAATTTGTTACTTCCCCACCCTCAACTTAAATGATCTCCTTTTACACTTATTTTCTTTCACAAATAAGGAGGAAGTGAATTTTTCTCCTCCACCTACCCACTTTAATGAATGACGGGAATTTCCCTTTCTTGCTTGAATCATTCTAGTTAAAAATGGCGGATTATTATTTTCATATGTCAATTTTTTTTCGTTTTCTATATTTTAAGCAATAATATTTTTTTTCTAATATTTCATATTTTATTGATTAGATATTCTAATACTAAAACATTATTCCCCTTAAAAATAATGTTTATTTATTTTTTGCTTCTTAGATTTAGATCATTTTAAGCTTTGTTCCAGAATGACATGAATTTCCCCTTCCTGCTTGAATCGTTCTAGTTCAAAGTGGTGGATTAATATTTTCATAACTGTTAAATTTTTTTCGTTTTCCATATTTTCAGCAATAATATTTTTTTTCTAATATTTTATGTTTGATTTGGATATTCTAATGCTAAAGCATTGTTCCCCTTAAAAATAACGTTTATTTATTTTTTGCTTCTTAGATTCAGATTGTTTTTTAAATCATTTTAAGCTTTGTTTACCTTGGGGGTCTATTATACGGAAGAATCTATTATACGGACTTCTGGAAGTCCCACCGATTCCGGATACGCGACTTTACACTGTATAGGATATAACTGCCCATTAGCAACAGCATCTGATAATACCGTACACATTTTTGGGGAAAACCTTTCTAAATTTGGAACAGGCGTAAAAATAGAGAGATATTACTACTTTAGGTGGCACAGTTGTCCTAAATTTCCTAGAACTTAAAAATTTTAACTTAGTGCCTTTAAATCTGCTATCTGCAGAACATATATAATTAGTCAATGAAAAGTTTACAGAATGTTGTAATAAGCTAGAAAAGTGGAGACATGTAGGACTTAAATACACAAGTGGGCGACCTTTGTGCTAAAATACAAACTAAAGCAAACAACGTTAAAGAGCACAAAAATATTTATAAAATACAGACAGCTGTTTCGTATGTTCCAAGGGCAACCTTCATCAGTGCAACAAAAAGAAATGAGAGAAATATGGAGAAAGGTGACTTCACAAGAGGGTTTAGAGCAACGGCCATTAGGAGGGAAGGGTGAATGGATGATGACGAATAGGAAGCAAGGAACAAAAAGGTGGTTAGTTAGGTTTAATCATAGATTTCCAAACAGGAGAAAGATAAGGAATGCTGGATAGGTCATTTACCAACAGTTTGGAATTTTTATATATGATAAGACTCGTAAAAATCTAGAGCAATTTTGAATGACTTTAGAAGAAGAAAAATTAAAATTATGATTAGAGTCCCAACAATGTTGGGCAATAGATGAGCGTTTAAATTCTTGTCTTTTGACATAAGCTTCATGCAGGGATGTGATTCTTCCGCGGATTCGCGGATTTTCGCTTACTTTCAGATTTTTCCATTTCCCCCGCTAATTACCGCGGAATTTATTATTTTTTTTTTTTGAACAAGTTAAAGTATTTTATGAGAAATTTAAATTTCCGAAGTATTGAAGTCCTCCCCTGAAGTTTCTCTAAAAATCATTTCCTTGGGGTAAAACTGGTTGACCTTTATACAGGGCTGAAATTTGTTCGCTTTTGCCTCTCGAATTTCAGCCTTTTTATCAAAAACTCAGATTCTCTAAAAGTTTCGTTTTTTTTTTAAATAAATATCCCGTTTTTTTTTTNTTTCTGGTTTTTTGTTTTTTTTGAAAATTCAGTTGTTGAAATAAAATAATTATATTTATTTACGATTTTCAAAGATAAACAAAAAATTCAAACTACGTCCTAGCTGCCAACCTTTCTGTATTTTTAGCTATTTTCTCCGCTTTTACGCGCAGAAAATAAGATTTTCCTATTTTTATTCGTCCGCCGGATAGCTCGTATTTTCGCAATTCAGACGTCGTGACCCTTTTGTCTGGCGTGAAAGCAAACAAAAAAAAATTAAAGGAGTTGTATTTGCAGTGAAAATATTTATTTGCTTATTCAATTAATCTTGTAATTTTTTATTTATTATGTCTAAACAAAAACAATTCAAACAAGTCTTTTAGAAATCCCAAGTTCAGACTCAGCAAATATCTCGATTCTTATTCACGCGATTTTAATGTCAATCATCGATTTTCGTATTTACCTGATTTAAAAGTTGCGCATTGTGATTCTTATTTACCCTATTTAAACATCGTACATTATGATTCTTATTTACGAGATTTAAAAATCCAATATTGCGATTTGTATTTGCGCTCTTTTAAAACCCTATGTAGCGATTCGTATTCACGCGAGCTTAAAATCCAATGTCGTGGTTCGTTTTTACGGTTGTAATATCAAACATCGATTTTCGTACTTATATGTGCTTTAAAAGTTAGACAATGTGATTTGTGTTCGCGCGATTTAAAAATTATGCATTGTGATTCGTATTTACGTGATCTAAAAATTATGCATCATGATTTGTATTTACGCAGTTTTTAAAATTCGATGTAGAGTTTCATGTTCGCGTAATTTAAAAGCCTCATATCGGGATTCATATTCTCTCAATTTATAATCACATGGCTTGCAGGTTTAAAAATCGCACTTTTTTTGTTAAATTTCTGTATATATATATTCTTGGATTTCCTCTTTTTAACTTTCTGACTACTCTCATCCCTGTTCATGTTCCTTGACACGGCACTTTAAGGCACGCTTAGTTTGGCCAATATATGAAAGGCCGCATTGCCAATTAATTTGGTATATACCCCAGCTATTTTGACTGTCAATGGGCTGTTTGAGATTAGAAAATTTTATCTTATTAATGGGACTGAAAATAATATTAGAATCAAACTTCTTTAGGTTAATAGCAATTTGCCGACTTATTTTAGGAAAATAGGGTAAAATGACTAAATTGTTAGAAAATTCTTTGGAAGGTTTATCGGTAGGCGATTCTTTAGTTAAGTTTTTATAAATATTATCAATAATGTTAGGAGAATAACCTCACCTCTGTCATGAGCAATGGCTTTGGTGTAATTTAATTCTGCATCAAGAAAATCAATGTTAGAACAAATATTAACAGCACGGTAGACAAAAGACCGAAAAGAGGCAAGTTTTTGGTTGGGAGTGTGGGAGGATTTGTACTGAGGGGGAAGAGAGGCAGCAAAAGGTTTATGAAAGACAGTAGTATGGAATGAATTATCATTCCGAGTCACAAGAACATCTAGGAAAGGAAGTTTTTGATCAGTCTCAAATTCAAAGGTGAACTGAGTACAAGAATCAATGCTGTTCATAACATTAAGAATTTGGTCTAAATTACAATTATTTTCATTTAACAAAGCAAAACTGTCATCAACATATCTTTTATGAAAGGGGAAAGTTAAGATTTTGAATAGTTTACTTTCAAAATAATGCATATAGATGTCACTACGTATAGGGCTCAAAAGATTTCCCATGGCAAGACCATTGGTCATACGGTAAAATTTGTTGTCAAACGTGAAAGTATTTTGTTGTAAACAAACACGGGTGAGGTGAACATACTCATCGATGTCATATTGGGAAAAATGATATTCTGAAAGTCTTAAGTTTTAGGTATTCCAAAGCCCCCTCAACCGGAACATTAGTGAACAGTGATTTAACATCAAATGAGGCCATCAAATAACCATTAGGTTTTAGATTTTTAACTTCTCTAACAAACTCAAGGCAATTTTTGGTAGTGAAAGAATTATTACCAAGGAGAGGAGAGAAGACAGAAACTAAAAAATTTTCTAGTTTATAAGACGAGGTACCAATGTTGGAGACAATTGGTTTGAAAGGAGTGCCAACTTTATGTACCTTAGGTAAAGTATAAAATCTCACGCAATGAGAAATAGAGAGAGTCAAAACAACCTTAAGTCTATTGGGAATTAACATAGGATTTAATAGTTGATTTTATAACATTTAATTCTTTAGTGCTCGGATCTTTGGGAATTGCTTTATAAGGACCATTAAGAATAAGTTGTTTAAATTTTTCCAAATATTCTGTTTTGTTTAGAAGAACAATTTGACCACCTTTGTCAGCTTTAGTGACGATTAAGTTGGGATTGGACTTTATATCTTTAAGAATTACTTTAGAGGAAAGGCTAAGGTTGGAATTAGATATTTTTGAGTTGAAGTCTACGGTATTGGCAATAAGGTGTCTGATAGAATCTTTTTGAGCATCATTAATTTTACTGAATTTAAAAGATCTTTCGATAGGAGCAATAAGTTTAGGTAATGAAGGTCGAGTTGAAATAGCAAAATTATTGTTAAGTTTTAAAGCATTAATTTGAACGTCAGTAAGAGTGATATTTGAGAGGTTAACTACAGAATTTTGATTAACAACAGGCAAACTAATGTCAGGTTTTTTATCATTAACTTTGATGAGTATATTCAACTTGTTATTCAGGTTTGAACTATGTTTTGAAGAGATCTTGGTTGCCCTATTCCAAGACTTCATTTACTTTTCTTTTTTTCAATCAGATAGTTGTTTTGTGAAATTTACCTTTATGTGTGAATCTGAAAATACTTCTATTCATATCAGGGATCTGTCTAGGTTTTTCTGAGAGGTACCTATTTTGTGAAAATTAAGACATAATTTGTGAAAATTAAAAATTATGTTAAAAAATCAACACAAAAATATGTATTTATCGTTTCTTACGGGATACAAAAATAAAATTTTAAGAAAAAGTATTTTGTGAAATGCGTTTTTCCTAAAGTTGAATTTGTGAAGGTACCGCTAAACGGTAGTAAATTTGGCCTGGACAGACCCTTGCATATTATTCTAAAACAGAATATCTATTAATAAGCATGGAATTTTCAGATCCGGATAAGGCATAAGTAAACAGTATTTCCTTAAATAATTTTGTAACTATTTGTTAAATGCTGCTAGATGTATCAATCTAAGTTTAATTTTGGATTTCTTATGATAAATTAATTAAAAAATTTACTATTTAAATCATAAAAATGCTCTAAATCGTTGAATCTCATAAAAAGTCTTAAAAAAATTGAAAGAAAATTAAAGAATTAAAATTAAAGAAAAAAATTTACTTTATTTTTTGTCTACGTGTTTCTAATTGAAGTCTATGAACACCCGACACTCATTTGAACTACTCTTAACCTAGTGTTTACACTCAGTCTTAGTGTTCAATACATTGCCAAAAGAGAGGTTTTCTATAATGTACTCAATGACTGTTTGTTGCAAATTTCACTTGGAAACTTCCACTACTCCCACAACACTCAAAAGATTCTCATTGTCATATTGGTTATCATTTCCTGAGATTTGTAAAACTTAGACTTCGTAAACTAAATTAATGTTTTATGGTAAAATGACATAAGATTTTGCCTTGAGAAATTTCAAATTTTCGAAATTGTCATTTTTAGCCATTTACTCAGCTGGATACATATCAGCTGGATTGGATAAATTTTATACTAGAATAGAGATTTGTTATTCTGGAATGTTCTATATTTTACAATTTTCTTAGAAGTAATATCATTTTTCTTATTCATTCTATTCTTGAAATCTATTTTAATGATTTAAGCTATTTAATGCATTCAGCATTTCTTCCTAAAAAAAGTTTTCAGTCAAGTTTAGGGAATGACAATCACGTTTTGGCAATTTTGTATTAGATTATATAACTGTATCATACCTGCCAACTTTTAATTCCTTCGAGGATTATTTTCCCCAGTGGTAGTAAAATGAAATTTAAATTATACAATTTTAGGCAGAAGAGTACGCTGTATTTTGAAAACGTTTGTGCGGACTAGAACAACAGCATTACATATTGACATATATGCATCATTTTTTAAAAAATAGTGGTGGTCAAAAAGATTATAAATTAAGTTTATAAAAGCAAGAAATATATAGAAAGTATACATTTTACTACCACTTTAAATATAGAAATAAAATTTTACGCCAAATGCGTGAAAGTTGGCAGGTATGCTGTATGTACTTTCCTTTGTAACACTGTATCGGTTAATAAATTATAATTAGGTGTTTCAAATTAGAATTATTCACTATTGACTGTTTGACTCAATTTATGAGTCTATTTTGTACAATTTTTTAAGAATAAATTGCAGGTTCTCATAGTTATCCTGATTTTCTTGATAAAAAAATATTTAGTCCTTATTTGTCACAATTTTTAGCTTTTTGTCCTGAGATTTCTGATGTTTGTGCGCAGAACATCCTTTTTTTCTTTTACTGGTATAAATACAGATTTTAAAATCTATATAACATCAAAAGTTGTAAATGTTTGATCCATTAGTTTTTTTTTTAAAATTTTAATTAATAATGCGGAAACAAAATCATAAACTCAATAGATTAAATTATTCATTCAATTTATTAATAGTTGAATATTTGCAATAATATGTTATGGCAGTGATCGTACAATTATATAACTTATACAAGGTTGGACTCATGCAATAAAATGCTATCTACTTCAGATTGCATATTAGTATTAAACTAGATTGTTAGTAATTGAAATCGTATCAAATTAGAAAAATGTATGCATTTCTTTTGCAATGATCCTTTTTTTTAATTTCAGTATTTTCTTTCCATTCATAATCATCGAAGTAACTTCGCAAAATTAATATTTGCTTTTTTCCAAATAGGCATGTTTTAGATACTCTTATATCATTAGCTAAAAGCTTTCCAATTCATTTCTTACCTGAAACTCCAAAAGACATTAAAACTACAACAAGTTCAAATCCTAAAGCTGATGAGAAATCTAGCAAAACAAGTCTTGAAAAATCGGACAAAGCTTCATCAGCCAAGTCTGATAGCTCAAATTCTCGAACTGAATGTGACTTTTGGGATGTACTCGTTAAACTTGATTCAGTCAACACAACATGCTCACGTAAAGGCAAAACAGCTTTGAGAACTCAAAGTGTAATTTCTGCTTTAAGTTCTTCTTCAACTCCTAGTGAAGATAACTCAAAAACTGGAGGATTCAAATCATCACCTTTGGCTCAACTAATTGGACTTCTTGCTCATCCAGTAGTTAAACGTAGCTCAATTTTAACGGATAGGTTACTCAGACTTTTAGCTTTAATCTCTTTAGCACTACCTGAACCAAAGAGCTCTTTAAAAGAAAAAACCTCCTCTGAAATAAGACAGCAAATATCGGAAAGTCAGAATGATAGTTCTGAGCCCAACTCTAATGTGACAACATTAGGAGCAGAGAATAGTAAGTAAAAAACATTCTAAATTATATTTCCTGAATCCTAATTATTTTTACAAGGCATATTTCTCCCTTTATTATTTTTTGTGTGTGTGTGAATTAAATTGTTTTGAATATTACCTTGTTAAAAAAATTTTATTTCAGCTTAAAATTTAAAAAACTATCTGCTAATAAAAATTTTCTGCTTTTGTCAAATTGTAAAAACATTGTTTCGGTGGGTTTTTTTTAAAAATTATTAGATTTGTTTCTTTATTGTTTCAAAATTATAATTTTTATTAATCTTACACTATTATAGAGTTGTAGCATTTACCTATCAATTGGCCACGGCAATAACATATTGGCCGTGGCTTTAGAAATGCAGAGATGATTGCGATCCTGAAAAAATCTGGATTTTTCGCGATATGTGATCCGGAAATCAAAGGTCCAGAAGTTTCAAAAAATCATCTGTCACATTTATGTTTAAAAATTCTTGTATATTTTATTTAGAAATATTAGAACTAGATTTTATACTTGGCATCTTTCATTTGTAAATATTTTTCTGTTAGAATAATAAATGTGATTAGAGATTAAAGTTAACTTATACATAATTATTCATTTAAATTATGGTGCATATAATTTATTTAGAATTTCATGTTTTTGAAATATCAATGATTTAAATTTATAAAGACATTCATTTTTTGAAATGTGATTTTGCGCATGAAATTTTCAGAATTTTTGTGTTGGGCTCACAATCACCCCTGGAAATGTGTTGCCTAAATAGATTAATTTTAATACATAATAAAGCTATATATGATTCAAGTTTCTGACCTAATGGAAGGGAATGTCTTTATTTTTTTGACTTAATTGGATTATAGATGATAATGAATAAAAAACACATTGTAAATTCAATTTTTATATTTATATATATAACTTAAATTTAGTGGTCAGAAAAACTTAAAATTTGCACCAACCAGCTTTTAAAAATTGATAGTGCTTGTACCTTGTTTCTTCACAAGCTAACAATTAAAATTAGTTGCAAAGAGTTTCTGCCAACTAGGGTTCTTTTTTGTATCACACTATTTTTTTCAAATTATGGAATATTAGTTTAGACCATTGTTTGAGACTATAGTTATACCTATGTTATAGATAAAAAAATTTTGGCAGATTTGTGCTATTAACACATTACTCTGTGAGCTGGCTGCTTATAAAATGCCAGAAACAGAAAATCATTTTTATAATTCAGTAATATATTTAAATTAATATAAATCAAATTTAATTGTTTCATTTAATTATGTAAACTATTATCTAACAAAAAGCCTTCACTTTCAATTTCTTAGACTTTCATATCAAATTAGTCTTTTAAATTTTATAAAGTGATGCATCAAACCTAAAAATATACCAGTTACAAGCAAAATTGATTCACATAATCAGCTTGGTCCAATTGTAGTAAAGAACTTTCTAAAATCTTTTATTACTATATCTGAGATGGTTTCATTTTAAATAATTCATTTACTTTTTCATTAATATTTCATATTCTTTTTTGTAATTAAAGTGTTCTTTTTATTTTTGGTTTAAGATTTTTAAAAATAAACTGAAAATTTTTCATAAACTGATAATAAATTTATTTAATTTCTATTAAAGGTGAAGTTGTTGAAATGCTTAAATTTAATTAATGAACAGTTTAATATTTATGAATATTGTTCATTAATAATTGTAGGATGAGTAACAATACTGAATGATATTAATTTCAAAAATAGAATTAAGCTGATATTTGCTAGTACATACACTTAATTGTTATACTTCAAAACTTATCAGTATATTGTAATTTTATAATGAAATTTTTTTTTCTATACTAATGTGTTTCTGAATTTGTCATTAGTTTGAGTAATATAAAAGTATAAAAAAATATTGTTGGGAAATAATACAATGTTCATAAGATTCTGTAATTTTTTCATTCATATTTTTTGTGTTACGTGACTTGATAAAATTCATAAGATTTGTAAATGTTTTCTAATAATATTTGATTAAAATTATCATTATTTTTATGAAATTATGTGTGTTCTCTTTTTTCATGAACAAAAAAATACCCTATTATACATAGGGTATTTTTGTGTTCATGAAAAAAGAGTTCAAAATATTTCTCCCGTAAGTTATATTATTGTTAATGTGCAGTTAACCATCCATAATGATTTAAATTTTTGTCTGTAATAAAAAAAAATTTATGGTAATTAGTATCACACTTGCTAATTCTTTCAATTTTGGCAAAAGGCTTTAGAGTTTCAGACTTGTTCTAGAATACTACTTTCGTCTTTTCTCCAATGTCCCGTTTCTTGTCGAGAATAATTAAGTACAAAGTTTCCATGCAATTAGTCAAGCTGAGTTATGGCTTATGAACGAGAAATGCTATGTTTCTACACCCACAATGAGTTTTTCTACATTTTAAAGAAAGTAAATTTTTTTCTATTTTTTTTTCTTTTTTGCTTTTCTTTTCTTTTATGTGTCAGGAAGACCCTTGTTAATTGTTATACCATTTTTAATATCTTGTAGAAAATTGTGAAAAGGCTTTGTTAAAGAACTTTTAATTTTTAGAGTATTTTAAATATGAAAAGTTATGTTATACATAAAAATCTTCCTATTTTTAAACTTAGTCAGTATCTAGACTTTTTTAAGTGAACTTTCTTCTCTATGTACCTTTCTGTTTGCAATAGCATTGGACTACAAGCATGAAAAAGTAACTCTAATGAATAGCGGAAAATTTTCTTCAAATATTGAAAAAAAGCCTATTTTTTACAAGAAGTTTACTAAACTAAATAGTTTTCAACCTAATAGTTTCTCTAACTAAATGTTTTTTGCAAAAAGTAAATTAAAGCATATTTGAGTTTTTCCTGTGCAAAGAATATTGACCTAAAGTAACCGTCTAAAATTTTCTCATGTATTGCATTGTAACTTCTGGTAGCAGTGACAATAATTTCCTCAATTAAAAATTATAAAAATCAAACAAAAAAATTTTTTTATAATAAAATAATAGAATGCAGTTAGTTTTAATTATCTAATTTATATACTAATTAGTTTAATTTCTATTTATATTTCATTAAAAATATTTATCTGACCTAGGTCAAAAGAAAATGAAAACTGGAAATAAACAAGATACCACTACTAACCTAGAAGATAATGCTGAAGAGGCAAATGTCATGAAACATTACCTTAAATTAGCTGTTGAAGTAAGTGATATGTGCATTATTATTCTATTTAAGATGTATTTATAGTTTAGATTAGGGGTGCACAATCTTGAGTGAAGAAGTAGAGGGCCACTTGCACAGCAGGTTGACTAATGTAGATCTGTGTGTATTCAGACATGTTGATGGCAAAAATGGTAACCTTTATATGAACAATAATGTTTTAAGCATGAATTCCATTTCATCAGTCAACTTAGAATTATCCTGCAAGTTATCAGTCAAATTAGAACTTATATTTTCAAAATATTAAATACTGTTAAATATAAGAATTCATTCAAAAATGAAGAAAAAAATTCTGAAAAATATTCTTTTTATCACATATGCAAAAGTTCATTTTAAAATGAATTCTAATATTTAAAAAATTGCAATGCTCACAGAATAAATAAATTGGAGTATATAAATTTTATTCTTTTAGTATATAAAAGTGAGTTTTTTAAGCAGAAAATTGTACAAACGATGGCAGTGATGATTGATGACATTTGGAAATAAGCAAAGGTATACTTGTATATCTATCTGCTTGATGAAGAAAGTTTCTCATTGTGCAGTTGTCGTAAGAGCCCATTGAAGTCAGATTGGTCTGGTCAGAAAAGAGGAACAATGTTAAACCCTTGCCGAATTTTTTTCTCTTTCTTTGCTTATTTGACAAAGCAACCAATGTTCTTAAAAAATTGGTCTTTAATAAATTTTTACAGTAGTTTGTAGCCTCAAAGTAATAATCTCTCTAAGAATTGATTTCAGTTGAAAGAAGGATTCTCTTCTCTGATTAGCAAATGTTTCTTGGCTGTGGTATAATTTTAATGTAATGCGAGCTCTAAGTGAATGTTTGAGTTATTGTTTTATCTTTTTGCTTTTTGTATCATTGTCAAAAAAACATGTTTTTTTTAAACTTTTTGAAATTAAATACCTAATTAACTTATGAAACAATGAGATTAAAAAAGTAATTGAAAACTTTGGTTTCATCTTCTCGCATGTAATGTATTCAAACTTTGTATCATTTAACTCCACATTCAATTCAATTCATGCTAATTTTTCACAGCAACAAAAAGTTAAACTGTTTTCTTTTACTCATTATTTTAATAGGTTAAATATTTTTTTGTTGCAATTGTGAGACTTATAAGTATGTTTCAAAAATAAAGTGTTGCCATTTGTCTTTAAATTTTTGTGAACTTTTTGATTTTGGGGAAAATAATAAAAGAATTCCTGCCCAAGTAGCCCACTTATCCCATTCCATACATTTAATACTGAAAGTTGAATTACTTATGAAAGAAATGAAGTTTTATAAAGTAAAAAGTTTATGTTTATGCATCTATTCTAGAAATTTTTAAAAATTCAACAAAAAATAATTTTAAAGCTTGAGAAATAAAGATTACATTGTTAGAATAATTCAAATTTATGTTTGCTTTCTACCAAATTAACTCTAAAACCTATTTTATTGCTTTAAAAATTTAAAAACAAACTCTGAAACTCTTTTTAAATGTTTTTAAACATTTAAAAACAAACTTAAAAAAAATTTAAAAACAAAAAAATCAAAAAAACAAACAAGCTCAAAAAATTAAAAAAAGTTTATCATAGTTCATAGTTTCATAGTTTCATAGACTTTTCCTTGATTTCTCCCTGCTGAGAGAAACATTTTTTCTAGCCGTCCTTGCATTCTTATTATCGGAATTGAAAGATTTATGAACATTTCGTGCAATGCTGCAAGTCTTTAAATCGAAAGAATTTTTTTTTTCAGGTTTTGACTTCTAAAACTTGTTCTGAAGAAGGTTTAGAAGATGCCACTGCATTATTACTTAGATTGTCGCGTGGTTGTATGAAAACACGACATACAGTATTATATTTACTTCTTGATGGCGCTAGAGAATTGGGACAATCAGTTTGTCAAAATATCCGATCTCTTATGTATGAGCTGAAGAGTTTAAATGCTCATTTAGCTGCTGAGAAGAATTCTGAAAATGAAGAAAAAGATCCTGAATATGACGGCAAGTTTCAACTCAAGGGCACTATTCAAGATAGGTGAGTTTTCTTCTTTATATATTTGTATGCAACTTAATAGTTGCAATAGTACACTATTTCATTTAGGGGGATTATTGTGCTGCTTTTTGCATGAATGTTTGCAGAAGTATATAATATTTATAACTAAAATTTATTATAAGATTTTGACTTACTATTTAAAAATAATGACAATACGATGCTATCTGTGTAAATTTCTGATTTTGTGACAATTTTTAAAAGAAAATTTAGTAATGCTTATGCAATACAAGACTGTAAGGAATTATTTTTTACTTTATTTCTCACTAGTTAAATTCTAATCATTCGAAACAGAGTAGTGATTAAAGCATACATAAATATTTTATTTTATTTTATTGATTCATTTGCTAACCAGTATTTCTATTGTTATAACTGGAGCTTTGTTTTACAATTATTTTTCTGCTGGTAAACTTCATTTCTCTAATCACTTATGTTTAATATTTTTTTTAATAAAGCAATAAATGTTTTAATTTCTGTTTTCAGTATTCTGTATTGCTTTTAATTAAAGCAATAAATGTTTTAATTTATGTTTACAGTCACTTCTTCCCTAATTGTTTTCTTGATATATGTGCCTAAAAATGAGTTATTGTTTTGGTTAACTATTAGTTTATTTTTTTCTAAAGGTTTACTTGTAGACCTGTTGTGGTAACTGCTCCTGGAAAAATAAAAGGAAGAAGTGGCAGAGAACTACAATTGCCATCTATGTCATCTTTCACCAGTAAAGCCTCTAGTCAAGCCTTTTTCTTAAGAATTTTGAAAGTCATTATTCAATTAACAGAGTCCACTCAACTTCTATCTAAAAACAAGCCTTTATCAGGTACTATAAACTTGTAATATTACTGGTGTGTATTTGTTTTTTCATTTTCGACAAAATTTGCCTTCAATATAATATTCCTTTTAATCTATAATCTTTATTCCTATTTTATACATAAGAACTCGTATTTGCTCTTGAGAATTATACTGTGTGTTAGAATTTTCATCCTATCTGAATCTCAAGTCAACTAAACTGCACTGGAAGGTGATAATTTGCAGGGTCGATTGTGGGTCGGGAAAAAAACAGTTCTCAATACGCAAATCACACATACCTAATTAAGTATGTAAAATTTGTGAATTTTTTTAAATAATTGACTCAATCTTAGTTTCTTTATAAAACATAAATTAATAAACGTTTATTTATTGGGGTGAAACAAGTATTTACGTACCACCGCGCAGTGGCGCGAACTGACACATTGACGTTACAAATGCAAATATTATATGCAGTTCCAGCTATCTTTGCAAACTGTGTTGAATATTTGCAGTGTCATTATTAAAACTTTTACAATTTTGGATAATTAGTTATTGTTTCGATAAAACCATTCGTTTGGTTTAGATATCAATTTTAATTATCAATGCACAAAAAAGAAGGTAAGCATTAATAATATGGATTAGTACAGCCCACGACAAAACTGTAGCACACTTTGTATTTTTTTACGAAAATTACAAAATTGACCAATTTTGACGAAAATTAAAATTGACCAATTTTGAACCCAATATAGCGAACCTTGCAAAAAAACACCAGGCACATCCATCTCATTGATCAGGAAGCAGTAAACCTTCAGTTACAGTAATTTCTGGTAAATAGGCCGCGGCCTATACGTGTTTAAAAGTTGGGCTGTCACGATGCGCGGCCTGTACGCCGATGCGGCCTATATGTAGAATTTTTTTATCCCATCCCACAAGTGAGAATTTTTTGATCATGGTGGATTTATTCAAAATCAGATGTTTAGCAAAAATTTTCAAAATAACGAACCTAATTCGTAATGTTTACTCTGGTAACGTTTTTCTTTCATATTTTTTTAAATGAATTTGCCGAATTTCGGATCGCTTTCGGAAATTCCAATATGGCGCCCATATATTACGATAATTCAATTATACTGTTAATTTCCGAAAATTAATTAATTACAATAAATTTAGTTCAGTTTTGATCGTAGATTATGATGGGGTGAATTTAAAAATGTCCCATCTTAAGAAATTTCATTAATTAAAATAATTATCTATATTATAGAAATAACAATAT